TTCATATATTTTATAATACTAATCATATTCCTGTTTCAATTATTGTTTTAATTTATGCTTGCACTGCATTTAGCTACAGCATCATAATCAATAAAATTACTATGTGTTAGCAAGGCACATCATACAAATGCCATACTCAGCAGCATTTACTCTTTCTCTAATTTCACTTCCATTTGGACTTAACATATGTAAATTATGCCTTTATATTCCACAATCTGAAGCTACACAGCATTTTCTGTCAATGAAATGCATGTATTACTATCAGTTCTGTTGACTACCATTCCTGTCCACCAATTTTTTTTCTTTATGATGCAGAACAGAGGAAGGATTAACCTGCCTTACTTCCTTTCTACTGCAGTTATGTCTAGAAAAAAGGTTAAAGCTGGAATAACCAAAGGCCACTCCTTTTTAAGACTGTCCATGCCAAATATTATTAGTACTATTTTCAGTGGTCTGCCCTTTCAATATATAGGTGGAGATAATATAGATTGTTGATAAGAAGTCTTCTGCTTCTTTAATTTTTATTTCTTACTTCTTCATCCATCTCTCTCTTTCTCCTATTGTTCCCTGTTGCTAGTTAACTCTTATTGATGTTTATTATATAAGCATCAAGCTATATCTTTTGCTAACTGACATGTATACTTGCCCTGATCTGGATACAGGGATTGACTATATCAGTATGTTGAGAGTAAACTAAAGTGAAAAATACACATAAATTTTTCAACAGACTGTACAGAGATCTTCACTCTACTCTTGGACTCCTTTCATACTACTTAGAGAAGATTAGAAAAAAAGTAAACATAATACAAAATAATACATTATGAAAATTAGAACAGAAAAAACCACTTATTTTATAAATTTTCATATGCAATCTCATGTTAAACTGAAGCAAGAAGATATTTTAAAAATTATGTATGTATTTTTAAATCTTATCCAATGTAATACATCAACATTAATACTTAATTTCCCTTTCTAAATTATGTTTAAGCCAATATCAGCATCATTGCTTATTTCTAAATTTAATGAACAAATTTATGGTACTTGGGCATCTGGTCAGTACTTTTCCAGACAGACAGAATTGCTCTGTTAATGGAACTAGGTTCCCTTGCCTCACCCTTTAACAACAGGCACATAGAAATAAACAATGACATTTACACACAATTTAAAAGGGACAACCAAAATACTAAAAAGAAAACAAAAGAAAACAAAATGCTAAAAATGCTCCGTGCCAGCAATCATCACCTAGTTAAACAAGGATTAACACCAAGATTAATACCAAGATAATCAAGCAGCAAACAACAGCCTAATCAAGGAACTATGAAGGAAAAAACAACACTCCCATCAACTCTATCAGAGCAAGCTTCTATACATAAACAGAGACCAAACCCTATATCGTTCTAGCACTGAAGATGTTACATAGTCTGGTAACAAAATGTCTGCATAAACAACCAAGGACAGATAGCACCAAGGATTCCACAGTTCAATCCAAGCTACATATATTCTCTTCTATTGGTCTCATAATCAGTGTATCTTCATTTATCAGCTTGGCTGCCCCTGTCCTGTGTTGCCATGGGCTTGACTCTAAACCAGTTTAAAAAAATTAGGTGGGAAAGGCTACAAAAGGGAACTTTGCTTCAATATTTGTATTATGGCTATACTGTCCTTAAATAGTAGAATTTATGAAAAAAGATGGTTGTCAAGAATCTTCTGCTCTACAAGCTGGTGGTTCATATTGTGAGCTACTTTTGGCCACAGAATGGATAGAATGACAGAATTAACAAGCTCAAACAACTTCAGGAAAGTAGAGTAAAAAAAAAAACACAATATAGTCTCAATCAATTCCAAAATCAATTATTAAAGTTTTTGCAAATCAGAAAACCAAACAAAATAATATGAAAATACCAGCAAATATCTGCTTGGAAGGATTCCATGTTATTGCTTACAAAATGTTCGAATTGTGACAAGTTAGAAGAAACTAATCATAAAAATAATTATTTGAAAATTTGCAGACATAGAACAAGTAGGATTTATCTAATTATCATATGAAAATGCTCTTAGAAATTTATGTATGATGTATCTCGTTATGTTAGTGGATTTCCCCAAAACATATAATAATGCTATAGCAATAATGGAAACAAAAATTCAAAAGATCACAATTGATCCATAGTCATTTTTTAAAAAAATCAATGAAATACAGTATATTAAAAAAAAAAAATAGCCAGCCTGTAATTCTTTTAATTCAGAATCATTTTCCATTCCATTCAGTCAAAATATGGAACCTACCTTAGATAGACCACCTACTTCCAAATAAAAGCAGATAATGAAAACATTCCATGTGACCCAGAGAGCAGTCCAAATGGAGTACTAAGTAAAGAAAGAAAAACAGATAAAAGATTATGATAAAAATATTATGCACATGGGTGCTGTACATTAAACATATAAGTACACTTCTGGGAACCACCAGGCAGAGAGTTTCCAGAAAGAATTCTCTACTATGAAATCTGTAGAACTGCAGCCAACTGCAAATCCAATATTCTTTCTTTCACTGACTACACACAAAGAAAGTTAGATTAATTATTTATGGTGCTATATTAATCTATTGATACCAATAAATTCTGACACATTGACCTAACTGTACATTTAATTCTCATAATATATTTCTGCAATGAATGGAAGCAATTATACCACAGCCTTATTTTGCCAAGTCTCTAAGAAATGACCAAAAACGAAATAATCTGATAATTCAAATAAACAAATAAGCCTGTAATTAATAATGTTGTGAATTAAATTTCTCCAGTTTATCAAATGATGGCATAAATACTTTCAAATTTTCCCTCTATCTAGCTAGTACATATACAACACATGTATGTATGCATCAACATATAAAGGAAAGAAAGTAATAGGAATGAAATATATTGCTGGAAAATTAGTATCTAGGTAAATTGATGAGAGCAGCAAAATGACATTGCAGGTATTCACTGTAGTAATTTAGCATAAAAATTCACATTTTTTGGCAGAATAATGTTATGATGCACACAGTGTCACTTTTATTCCTTTTCCTCCCTCGTGAACTTTAGTGTGTAATATGAATAGAACTTCTTTTCATGTCTACATTTATAAAATTCATAGTATGGAATTATGATTTCTTTAATCTCATTAAGATTTGCCCTTAAATGTGAAACTTTGATTCAAAGATGCTTCAATCCAATCACCATGCTGAATGGAATAATTGATCCAGTATGTTGATTATGTGTCATCAAGTCAGTGTTGACTTTTAGTTATTACATAGATAGATTTTCTCCATGAATTCAATGTGTTAAACTGAATCTAATGCTTTCAAATTGATTGAGGGTTCAGTAGGATTCCATGCATGTTCATAGAAATGCACTTCTGCAAATTGTACTGCAAAATCAAATCAAATTGCACATTCAGATTAGATTTGGATTTGCGCACATAGTATTTATGCATCATTTGATGAAAGAATTTTTTTTTGAGTTTTAAAAATTAAATTCACGAAAGATTTTGCATATTGTGACAAACCATAATATATTTTGTTTAATTTTATCTTAATGGTTTTAGCATGTTACATGAACTGAATTGTGGTTTATTCAACAATCACAATGAAATAAACCATGTCTTAACAAGTTGCATGAACTAGTAGAGGGGGTGGGCATAAGTGCACTAACATGCCCTGTCATTGTATTTTTATTTTCTTATTTGTGTTCTCGTTTTTGTTTGACAAATTCCAATAAAGAAATAAATAAACTAAACCTTAATCTCAATTGACTATAAATTTTAAACAGAAAATGAGGAAGACGAAATTCTTTCCCTCCAGTAGTACTTCATTCAAAATCTTTCCTCTTATTAACTGCTTTCATTCCACAAGAAAATAATTCATAGCAACATTGACCATAGGCTTGGACTACAAGACCGCCAAGGTTCCTTCCAGCTCTATTCTGATTAATTTATTTACATAAATATCAGTCCTTGAGTGTTATTGCCAAATTTGTTAGAAAGAAAAAAGTTATTACTGGGAAAAACGTTTTAAAATCATGCTTGATGCTTAAAGTTGCTATTCTATGGAACAGCAACTTTATGGAAGGAAGGACTGTAGTAACTGAACTTTTAAGATGATTTTAAAAACATGTTCATCTGCACCATCGTTCCAGTTATACAATGTATAGTTAACTTCAGTTATGCATTAAGAATGCCAGCCATAGCTGCAGAAATATAGAAACACACTCACAATCATTCTTATCTAGTTCAGTTAAATTTGTGGTGGACAAGAGACCAAAGCAACAGGACAGAAAATGAAAAGTGATTGGCTCAAAATTTGATCAAAATCATTTCTCAAAGAATGTTTGCCTTATCAAACATTTTACAGTTTTTTTTAAGGTCAGATGAAGTTGGCTTTCTTATTGTTTTTTTTTTTTTATTTTATTTTTAAACAAACAAAACATAAAACATCTATCATACATTAGAATTGCAAACAGTGTGTCGATTGTTTACAAATCCCTTGTGCTTCATTTTACAAATTATAGTTCTTATTGTTTCTTAATGTGTAGGTTGGCTTAACTCCAAATAATCTAGTTTTGCATCTTCTGGGTACGTTTCTTTCCCCATTAATCACCAAGAGAGATAGAGAGAGGGAGAGAGACAGAGAGATACAGAGAGAGAGGGAGGGAGAGAGAGACATAGAGAGATACAGAGAGAGGGGGAGAGAGAGAGAGAGACAGAGAGAGATACAGAGAGAGAGGGAGGGGGGAGAGAGAGATGTTAAAAGGATTTTCTGGTTCCAGGTGTTTTTTAACAACTGGTTCTCTGACCTACCAGGTCAGTATGTCCTGTGTCCAGGAATACATCCATAGCTACGACAGATAGGGCCTGGGGAAAGCAGAAGTGATTTCAAAGCGCCTGGAGTTAATTAAAATATCTGTGCAGTGCATTAAGCTGAGCGAGAGTCACACAAGTCTCATCAAACTTCCTTTGCTTGAACTCACCTTGGTAATTCCAGCCACATCACCCAAGAAGGAGACCACTCCCTCTGACCGGAGGGTCTCAAATTGGCATCGGGCAGCAAGTCCCCATTTTCTCCTCCTGTGGTCTCGCACACTTTCAATTCTAGTGCTTTGAACACAACCGACGAGGAGACATTTTTCAAATGGGCTACCGCCTCTCCGCGGCTGACACCTGTCAGATCAATTCCATTCACGCTGAGCAGGATATCACCTAGCGGACACAAAAAACAAAATAGTGGAAATGTTTTTCACTCACTACTCCGAGACAGGCCAACTTGGGATGTTTATGAATTGGATATGACCAGTAGTGGGTTTCAATTTTTTTTATTACCGGTTCTGTGGGCGTGGCTTGGTGGGCGTGGCAAGGGAAGGATACTGTAAAATCTCCATTCCCACCCCACTTCAGGGGAAGGTTACTGCAAAATCCCCATTTCCTCCCGATCAGCTGGGACTTACTTACTTACTTACTTACTTACTTACTTACTTACTTACTTACTTATTTATTTATTTATTTATTTAATTAAATTTGTATACCGCCCTTCTCCCGAAGGACTCAGGGCGGTGAACAGCCCAAATTAAAATACATACAGTAGAAAAATTAAAATAAATTAAAACAGAATTAAATCAGTTTGACTTCCCTAAATTTTTTAAAACCCTTTACCCATAAAATAGCCCATTAAAATTTTAAGCCAGCCCGGCTTGCTGGAATAAGAAGGTCTTCAACGCTCGGCGGAAAGTACGGAGGTCCGGGATCAGTCGTATTCCTGGGCGTAGCTCGTTCCAGAGGGCGGGTGCCCCCACAGAGAAGGCTCTCCCCCTGGGGGTCGTCAGTCGACATTGCTTGACCGACGGCACCCTGAGGAGACCCTTTCTGTGGGAGCGGGTTGGCCGGTGAGAGGTTATCGGTGGCAGATACACTTGAGAGACAGAGAATAGATGGGGGCGGGGCCCGTCAGAATTTTTACTACCGGTTCTCCGAACTACTCAAAATTTCCGCTACCGGTTTTCCAGAACTGGTCAGAACCTGCTAAAACCCACCTCTGGATATGACTGCTGATCTCACATACATTTTTGATGGAGAGCCTGGTCCCACATATTAATACTATATTTTTATTTGGGTTTTGTATGTACTCTGCCCTGAAGTGCATTTTTAGAATAACACTGTCGTCAAGAAGCTTAAGGATTTTTTTTAGATACACTATCAGAGCTATTGCAAATGTACATAGGATCTCCATTTAATTTCCAGATCAGAAAGTTCCAAAAACTTAGTTTTGGACATCTTTTTAACTCCAGGCCTAGTCGACCATTTATAAAGTGAAAATCAATTGTTTTGGGCAAAAGTGATATATCATGCGCTGTCTGGAATGAATGACAATACATCTATAGCCCTGTGAATATTGCAACAGAATATGCATTATATGCATAAGTGTGCACACACAAGTATGTGTACAAAATGGAAAATTAAATATTTGTGAACGTTGTTGGTTTGTCTGTTGTGGTACTTTTAGAAATACTACTATAATTTATTGTTAGGCTCATCATGACTAATTCTAGATTGCTATGTTCTTGGAAACTGCTAACCTCACAAATGCCAACTAATGTGCAAAAAATTCAAATATATAAAGCTAATCTGTCTAGTATGTTCACTAAACTCCATACGCTCTCACTTACAATAATTAAGAACTCTATGGCTGGCATCCGATATCCATTAAACAAATAGTTGACATTTATTTATTTCTTTATCATATCCTTATATAGGGTTAGGTTCCTTACATATTTAAGGGGTCTAATGCTGACGAGACAATACTGTTTTGAGTAAGAATGCTAGATTGTAAGTATGAGCTGATTGGTATATAATCATGCATCCATCTTGCATATATTTAAGATGAAAGAGAGATCAACATCTTTTAGTGGGTATTCAAATGTTTGAATTTAATCATTCTTAATTACGGTTTAACATTTTAGTATGCACAATCATGGATTGAAAAATTGATATGCCTGTAGGTGAGGGAATGACATATCTTGCATGTTAAAGCACCCCCTTTCTAAAAGGGGCTAATTCATAGCACGCTATCACAAAAATGATGCGCAAAACTAACATTTGGGAGCACTGAAAACAAGTTTAAATGTGGGGAGAACCCTGGGGGAAAAAAAGTGTCAGGTTTTTACAGATGCTCGTGGCATCTGCAACAAATTGTAAGGTAATTTCTTCTCTGTTCTCAATTTATCTCCAGCCATTTTACATGGCGACTCCCACTTGGGAATAGATAATGCTGGAACTGGATAACACACGGAGACATCAGTGTAAAAAAATTAAGCTAAAAACTGACAGAGAGATCAGATGTTATTTTTAATAATAGCAGAACATAGACATATTCAAAATTAAATTCCATTAAGTGCAATGGAGCTGCCTCTTGGTTCAGAAATATAAAAGTGCATCAGTTGGTAAATTTTTTTTATAGCTGCTATATGAGGTAAGATCAGGCTGAGATATAGTGAGTGACCATTTAGTTTTTATAGCACAATGGGGAGTTGAAGGGGATCTCCACGCATCTAAACCCAAACTCGAATCATTATACATTCAATGCAATGGTGAGTTGCCCCCGGTTCAGACCGGTTCGCAAGAACCGGTAGTAAAACCAGCGGGAGGCCTTGCCCACTGCCCTGGATGTCATCAACGGCGATCTGCGCATGCACAGAAGCAAGGTGTGCGATCCCGTTGCGAACCGGTAGTAAAGGTAAGTAGAACCCACCCCTGATTCAATGACTAATTTTCCCCCAGTTTTGACTTCGCTTTTTTTCGTAGGAAAAATCTGGAGCTTTAGGAAAATTAAAATCTTTACTGAAAACAATGTCCTGAAGTTATGTCAGAAGTGGATGTGAGTGAGTGGAGATTGGTGTTTCAGGAGCCTTGTTTCTAATACGCTCCCACAGAGAGGGACTCCTCAGGGTGCCGTCAGCCAGGCAATGGCGGCTGGCGATCCCCAGGGGGAGGGCCTTCTCTGTGGCAGCTCCTGCCCTCTGGAACGATTTGCCCCCGGAGATACGAAGGATATCGGATCTCCGGGTCTTTCGCCGTGCCCTAAAAACTTTTCTTTTCCATCAAGCCGGGCTGGCGTGAACCCCCCCCCCCTTTTTTTTTTTAGCCTTTTAAATTGTCAATGGGTTTTAGTTCGAATGTTTTAAATTTTGGGCCATAGTCGTATAATTCTTTTAAAAATTTTAAATTTTGTATTGGTATGTGTTTTAGTTCTGGCTGTGCACCGCTCTGAGTCCACTAGGAGAAGGGCGGGATACAAATTGAATAAAATAAATAAATAAATAAATAAATAAATAAATAAATAATCAGGAAGCATTTCCATTCTCCTTGGAGCTACATCTGGCTATTATCATTTTTTTTCTTTTGGTCAAATAATACCTTCTTTCCTCTGCCGGTAAGTAGGAGGTGGGCCAAGCTGCTGATTCTGCAGTCTTTCAAGCAATCAATGTTTGCTTATTAATTCTCATCTGAAAAGCAGAATTCTCCCAAGCCGCAACTTAACATGATATGAGATAAATCTAAGAATAGATGTTTTCTCAGACGAGATAATGAACTGAGGTCAGAGTTCTTTCAAATTGCCCCTTTGGCACCACTAGGGGAAACTTCGAGTGGTTGCTGTTTTAAAACTTGCGTATTTTCTAAAGAGTTAGCAAACTGTATTGTATTTTAAAGTAAATGGGGTCCATCCCACCAGACAGACATACCTTCAATCAGAGCATTAAAAAGCCACATAACTCTGCCAGTTGTCTGGAGATTGCAGCTCTATGCCATATTATTATTTCATTGGTAGCATTTCAGAATATTTTTTATTTATTTATTGTGGTCCTCTTTGGGTTCTAAGAGGATTAATAACTTTTCTTTAACTAAACCAGGTGGTGTCCAACCTTGGCAACTTTTAAGACTTGTGGACTTCAGCTCCCAGAATTCCCCAGCTGCAAGCTGGCTGGGGAATTCTGGGAGCTGAAGTCCACAAGTCTTAAAAGTTGCCAAGATTGGACACCCTTGAACTAAACTAAGCAGAAGGGAAAAAGAATGCATGTCTGTATTTAGAGCCCCTTAAATGTAGAAATCCCCCCAAAATCGTAATTATTTATTCTTATTTCTACCTTTATAGCAGTGGTGAAATCCGCCGTGGTTTGCCACCGGTTTGCTGCCCACACATGCGTGGTGCGGCAAACGCACACTGTGCGTGGAAAAATGAGGCTTAAGAAGGTAAGTAGAACGGGACTTCCTGTTTGCTGCTGGCCGCCGCCAGACGTTCCTTTGGGATCGTCAGCTTCCACTGCCTGTCAGAGCCGCCTTCATAACGGAACGGCGGCTCGAAAAAACTCCGTTCCCATGAGGAAACGGAGATAGAGCCGGCAGGGGTGGGTAGAACTCTCTGCAGAGTCCCAAAAGTTTTTCTTTTACTTTTGGGATGGAGCGGATGAGATGCCCCATATCCCCAGCCGCTGCTCCGGGCTTTGGGAGACCTCTGCTAATGCAGAGCCAGGCGTCAAAAGCAAGCCTGCGAATTTGACAGATTACTCAAAGAAAATGTGAGCTGGCCCTGTAATACTGAAGCGCAAGTATTTTACTTATCTTTTAAAAATTACTTAAGAGAATAGAGGAAGAGAAAGAGGAAAAAAGTTTCTTTTTAAAATGGCGTCTGCCGCGGCTGGAGAAGAGTTTGAGAGGGAAAGTTCTTCCGTTTTTTATTATTACAATGTAGCGGAATAAATACCACTGGCTACATTTGTAGACAAAACTCCGCTCCTGTTTTTGTTTTTCTCTTTTTTCCCTGGAGGCTTGAGCGTTGCTGGCTGGAAGTCTTTTGTCTTGTTTTTTTTTTTTTCTTCTTCTAACAAAGCCTGCTTAGGCGGAAACATGGCACTGAGGCTTGTGAAGTCAGACAAACAAATAGGTGGGGGGGATTCCCCCACTAAGAATTTAAAGGAACAAGTTTTAACTCTTCAGTCCCAGAAACCTGATTTTAATATAATAGAATTTCTCTTAGAGGAGATTGAAAGAAGGGATGAGATTGTGAATCAGCAACTTGAAAAATTTAAGTAGGAAACTAAGGAATTGGTGAAATCCAAGTTTGACTTTTTGCAGCAAAAAATTTTAAAATTGTCAGAATTCATGATTCGGTTGGATACAAATACTAATTTACTAGAGTCAAAAATGGATGA